TCCCAAAGAGACTAATTTAAAAAAATAAAAAAAAATTTATTAAAATAATTAATAATATATTTGAAAACAAAAAAGTATAATAGTAACTCTTTTTAATGATCAGTTGTACCAATTTAATACTGAAAGCAAGTTGAAGATTTAAGCCTAGAAGTCAACAACAATTTGAAGTTTCTTAATATGAACTATTATCAACAAAGTCTTTAAATATGATACACCAGGAAGCAGATGTTTTGAATAGTTTGCAAAGAGGTCAAATCTGGTTTTTCTGCTATTTCTTGGGTAGACTCTCTTTGTATTTGATATCCAAATCAGAGGAGTCTCTGAGAATAGAAGTAGAAAAAAAACTTTTGTTTAAAGATGGAAAACTATAAAGAACTCTTGGAATAACACTTCTTGGTTGAAAACCTTGCAAAAACTTAATATTTTTTCACTGTCTTTTGGCTTTAAAATTTTTAACAAAAAAGTGGAGAATTCAACTTACCTCTTCAAAAGATCAGCATTGTTTACTACTTTCATATCAGAAAACTAGATGATAACAAATCAACATATATAATGAAATAAATGAAATGATAACAAGTTCATGTTAAGTTTTTAAAGTCCTTATACTTTCAGATGACAATATAGATTTAATGAAAAAATCAAACAAAGTATATTAAAATATATAACGTGTCCCTTGTATATAATTTTTAGCCTCTGGCATGAGTTATAGTACATCTTATTATAGTTATAGTTTTGTCAAGATTCTCACACTTAATAGTAGATTATTACTCTATATAATTAGATGTTTTTGCCTAATTAGCAGGTTTTTTCTTTTTAGCAATAGTTTTTAGTTTAAATTTTTACTCCTTAGTATTAGTATCTGTTTTTTTGATATATTAGTTTTTATTATATATCTCTTTTTTTGTTTCCTATTATTCTTTTTTTTTTTTTCTTTTTTCTCTCTCTACAAGTAAGTGTTATCAATTTGACAACATTCTATTATAGAGCAAAAATTTTGACAGGGCAGTGCAACAGCCAGCCAAGAAATCTAGAGAAAATAAGTCTGGAGTAAGTTTCAGATCTCTGAAGAAGGCCAATTATTCACTAGACAGGTCATATCTGGGCATAACACAGCAGCTTAATGGTTCACTCTGACTGCAAGTGGGTATTACAACACCTGTGAGATAAAGCTATAAGTAAATTTATCTTCTGGTAGAATACTATAGATTTAGATTTTTTCATTAGCTAATATAAGAATGAAAGTCTGTTCTCATAATGAAATAAACAGGATTGCTGAAAGAAAAAATAAATATATTTGAAAATTTAAATAATTATAATTTAGTAAAATTTTTCTTATTTTCTTAAGATCATATAGATCTGAATGTATTCTTCATATTGATTTTTTTAAAAAAAATCTAATTCAATATTTGTATTAGTCAAAGAATGAATTAAACAATTAGAACTTTTTAAATAATAGTATTACAAATATAGTACTAATTACAAAAAAAATTTTTATACTAATTCTTTTGTTTTTTAATAAGTTTTTCAAATATCTTTTAAAATTGTAAAAAAAAATTTGAAATTATTTTTTATATCACTTTTATATTTTTTTTTATAGCTTTCTATATTTTTGATTTCTGTTTCTTCAATTATTAATTAGTAATTGTGAGATTTTTAAATATAAAATAAATTTTTAAATAACAAATCTTTTAGTTGCTTCAAGAGTGGTTTTTATATTGTAACTTAGATTTAATAAATAAAGATTACCCAATTTTCTACTTTTAAGTTCAATTGTTTTAGATTATCCTGTTTACCTATTTTTTTCATATGGCGTTAAATGTAGTTTTTTGGCTTATAATAATATTTTACAAGACAAATGACATAATTTAAGTGAAGAATCGTTAACAATTCTTACTATGATATATTTATATAATAAATAATAAATTATATATGATAAATATTTTATTACAAATCTAATTCTAATTACAAATTTTTTGAATGATACAAATAAAGATTTTGCATAATACAAAAATTTTCCAGAACTTACCCCTAGGGCACCCACAAAATGTCACTAACACGTGATTTTTTGCCAATCAAATTTCAAATCAGGTGTAACATTACATGATCAAGAAAATTCAAAACAAACGTTTGCGTTGTCAAGAATAAGTCAAAAATCGCATATTTCTTAAAAACAAGCATAAGAAATCACACCTTTTGTGTCTTAATAAAAAATTTCCTTGAGGATTTTACTATATTTTCATCTAACATCTAACTCTAAAGTAAATGCTAACTCTAACATAAACGAACTTTAAAAACTTTATCGTTAGTGACATTTTGTGTGTGCACTAGGGGTCCTAGTGTGTGTAGGATGCAGGGACAGTGATTTTATGTGGTGACAAAATTAAAATTATTCGGTGGCAAAATTTAAATTATGTGATGTGATGTGAAACATATTTGCCAAATTATGTACGATTCCGTGGATACTTGGCCAAATTATGTGCGATTCTGTGGTATACTTGGTCGAATTATGTACGATTCTGTAGTATTTGTGACCAAATTTTTGACGGAACTTTTCGGATTTCGTTTCAAAAATTTCATAATCTTGCTCGTAATTTGGGTTCGTTCAAATTCTACATCGGATGATACCAGATCCGTTAGACTTTATTCATTGCCTCCATGAAATTGTCAAATTATGTGCCAATTCTTGTAAATTACTACATTATGTGATATTCTGCGGTGACATACCCCATATTATGTGATATAGGCATATTTACAGTATGTGAATTCTGTGGTATTATGTAAAATCACCGTAACGTAATTAAGAGTTTTTGAATTCGCCACGTAAAACACATCTGCATTTTCATGAACATAGCGAATTATTATTATTATTATTATTATTATTATTGCAAGTGTAGGACTTAGTGCCGCAATTTGTTTTTGGAATCTGGAACGTGTGTTTTGCTTGAACTAATGTTGGTAATAAAAATATCCTGAGCCGTTGAGTATCTTTACTCACTACTCTGCGATCTTGATATTATTTTCATTACTGTGATTTCAACGTTACTGTTTAGAAGCTATGCAATTTATAATGTTGTTTAACGTTGTTTTAATTTCAATTGTTTTTAATACTTATTCAAGTGCTTAGTCACCTTGAGTTGAACTTTTTTCTTGGCCTCCCCGTTCGGTCGCTTGATGTCTACATCAATTACTTTGCAAAAGCTGCACAAATTACTCCGTAAAAATTTTAAATGTAACAAATTTGTGTTCCCAAATTAGTTCTATCTTGCTAAAGTGTGTGCAGAGAACTTTGAAAGTATTAATCACCCAATATTTGAACCTTGGGTTGCACTAAGGTCCAGAATTTTTAGTATGTTTTGATACTTGTTATAACGATTTCTATCCGTCAACCTTTGCTTATTTTTCTCTTTGTTAATGAAGGTCTCTAATATTCGATCAAAGGTCTCACGAGTCACGAAGCTATATCTCAAATTCATGTGTTAAAATATATATATATATATATATATATACTGTATAATGTACAGCAATAAAAGATCTATTCAACTACAGTATAATAAGTAGAAAAAAAAATTTCGATTACAAAAAAATGGTGTTTATTATGTAACAATTGTAACAAAACGTATAACTACAATTAATAGACAAAATTTGACTATTTAAATTTTTCAAATTGTTTTTAAATACATTTTGACTAGGGGTAGAACTTGTTGTTATATGATCATAATAAATTGCCGGATACCCGGGTAATTTAATAATACCCGGGTAGGGATTTTCTCAACGGGTCCAACCTCTAATTTTGACATACCAAACAACTTAGATTTTGTAGTAACTAAATACTCATGTTAGAAGACGAGAATGTTTTGCTAATAAATGATATAATATTATCATTAGCTTTGGTCCGAATTTTTCAATTCATTAGTCAATTTATGCTTATCTGAATACGATTCACTTATATTACTTATGAACGTTCGTTAATTTCGTATTATCAGTAGGCTTATGTCCGAAATTTTCAATCTGTAGAAAATTCTAAATTTTGATTGGTTAGATCAGGTGTAACGTAAAAAAAAAAAACGATAATCGATTTTATTATTTAAGGAGCTGTCGATTTTTTTTTTTTAAAAAATCGATAATCAGAAGATAACGGAGGAAAAGATTCAACCGGTATACCGGTACACCCAGGAAACTCATTAAATTCTCAAAATCAGATGAGATTAAGGGTGGATTAAGGGTGACAGCTTAGTTTTTAGTTCTTTACAGTCTTGTAACAAGGTACATTCATTAATAGATACATAAATTATTTACGCAAATTATTTTTTTTTGTTATAAATAGTAATTATTCTAATTAATCAGCCTTAATTTATTTGTAGTCCAGTTGGGATTTCTAATAATTTACAAGTATTTTTGGTTTTTAATATACTGAAGGCTCATAATAACAAGGTACATTCATTAATAGATACATAAATTATTTACGCAAATTATATATTTTTTTTTGTTATAAATAGTAATTAATCTAATTGATCAGTCTTAATTTATTTGTAGTCCAGTTGGATTTTCTAATAATTTTATTTCAAGTATTTTTGGATCTAAATATACTGAAAACTTATTATAGCAAGGTACATTCATTAATAGATACATAAATTATTTACGCAAATTTTTTTTTTTTATTATAAATAGTAATTAATCAGCCTTAATTTATTCGTAACCAAGTTGGGTTTTCTAATAATTTCAAGTATATTTGGATCTAAACATACTGAAGGCTCATTAATGAGAAATTTTGGTTTTCCACAACACAACCCTTTATTTTTGATGAACCTACACGAAACGAACGACGGTGATGACTATGATGATAGCAAAAAAAGTGGTGCAGAAGAGGAAGTGCCTTTTGGAACCGGTGCAAGGCCCTTATTACATGAACAATAAAATTTTAATTTTGTTCAGTCTGTACAAAATTATAATAATAATTTTCTCGAAAAAAAAATGTCTCCTGAGTGGACAACAGGAAAAATATGTCTCCTGAGTGGACAACAGGAAAAATATGTCTCCTGTGTGGACAACCAGAAAATATGTCTCCTGAGTGGACAACCGGAAAATATGTCTCCCGAGTGGACAACCAGAAAATATGTCTCCTGAGTGGACAACCGGAAAATGTCTCCCGAGTGGACAACCAGAAAATATGTCTCCTGAGTGGACAACCGGAAAATGTCTCCCGAGTGGACAACCAG